TGAGTGCCGCATGCTAAGACATTCTCAGGTGGACAGTTACCGTTATAGGAGCCTTTATAGAAGGTCTGTATACCTTATAGAAGCCTTATAGAAGCCCTATATACCCTAAACTCCCCACCTGTAGTTTCCTTCAGCTAAACCCTAAACTTTGGGGTTGCCCTTGTGGCGGCTGCGGTGGTGGTCTCTGTGGACCCCGAACCCGAAAGGCTGATACCTCTTTCAAAAGGGGGTTGTAAGGGTTCCCTAAAAGGGGTTCCTTTAAAGGGGTCTCTATAGCGGTTTAGTTTTTTTTTTTTTTTTTTTTTTGGGGGGGGGGTGTTAGGGTTCAGCGGTTAATATAGAAGCCTGATTAAGAAACCTGTGGTCTTTGCTAGGGTGTTTCCGAAAATAGGGGACCCTAATATAGTGCCCTCAATAGTAGGATCCTTATTACAAGGACCCCGAAATGAGGTACCCCTCATTTCGGAAACTCCCATATGAATCATGATATTTTGGCGGTTATAGGGCCAGGATTTCCACCCTAAACCCTAAGCCGCACACCCTAAAACTCTAAACCCTAAACCCTAAAACCTAAGCCCTAAAACCCTAAAGCCCTAAACCTCAAACCCTGAGACCCTAAACCTTAAACCCTAAACCCTAAACCCTAAACCCTAAACCCTAAACCCTAAACCCTAAAGCCCTAAACCTCAAACCCTAAGACCCTAAACCCTAAACCCTAAACCCTAAACCCTAAAAACCTAAAACCGTAAACCTCAAACCCTAAGTCAAACCTTAAACCCTAAACCCTAAACCTTAAACCCTAAACCCTAAACCCTAAACTCTAGAACCCTAAAACCCTTAAGAGGGGCCTCATTCTCGGTCAGGGAGAGCATCAACTCAGGGGCCGATACAAGGATTGGTGCGTCAGCCACGGGCCAAGTTCAGGGTTTATTGGTTTAGGGTCTAGGAGTTTAGGGTTTAGGGTTTAGGGTTTAAGAGTTCAGGGTTAAGGGTTTAGGGTTTAGGGTTTAGGGTTTAGGGATGGTTGAGGATTTAGTTCAGGGTTTAGGGTTTAGGGGTTTATGGGTTTAGGGTCTAGGGGTTTAGGGTTTAGGGTTGGGGTCTGGTTCAGGGTTTTAGGGTTTAGGGAGGGGTTTGGGGAAAGTTCAGGGTTCGGTTTAGGGTTAAAGTAGGGTTTGGGGAGGCTTTAGAGTTTAGGGTCTACGAGCCCTCGTGTGTGCTGTTGCGAAGCATGTTGCCACATTGCATGGAGTTAGCCCTAAACCCTAAACCCTAAACCCTAAACCCTAAATCCTAAGCCCTAAACCCTAGACCCTAAACCCTAAACCCTTTAGGGCTCAGGGTTTCGGAGTTAGGTTTCGTTTTTTTCTTCAGGGTTTCAGGTTGAGGGTTGAGATGCTTTGGTAGGCGTATACCGTTTAGGCGGGTTTAGGGTTTAGGGTTTGGGGTTTGGGGTTTAGGGTTTAGGGTTTGGGGTTTAGGCGTCACGGTTTTCTATTCCTGTGAGCTTTGTACTGCTGGGCAACATCGTCACTGCTTCCGTTGCTACTTGCACATGTACCTGAATATGTTCTTAGCAATGCTACGGTTACTATTGCTGCTTCTAGCGGCGCCTGGCACACGCCTCCTGTACAGGTACTCGGTGGTTTTCTGCAGCGAGTTTATGCTAGGGATTCTGATGAGTGTATTTTGGTGTCATGGGGTATATTGGTCAGCGTGATTTGTGGGTTACTATGCGGATGGTACACTCACTAATTTTTCGAAAGTTACTCGACTATCATATACTTACATCAGAAGCCCGTTCGCTAAACCCTAAACCCTAAACCCTAAACCCTAAAGCCTAAAGCCACTAAACCCCAAACCCTAAACCCCAAACCCTGGATTAAGGGGCCAAGGGGTATGTGCTCTCCGGGGAAGCCCTCAACCCGAAGCGCCTTCAAAGCCTAAGGCACTAGGCCCTATACGGTGAAGGGTTAAGGGTTTAGGGTTTAGGGTTTAGGGTTTAGGGTTTAGCACTAGGCCCTACACCTGAGACCCTGAAAGAGCTTCCTGAAAGGAAGCCTTGTCGAACCACTGAAACAAGAACCCTTGTAATCGAATTTTTGGATTAAGGGAAGCACCTAAACACCAAAACCCTAAAAGCCCTAAAGCCCTAAACCCTAAACCTTAAATCCGAAACCCTAAACCCGAAACTGAGAGCCAAAGCTGCTACCGTAACCTTTTTCGGAGGGTCCATATCAATTCTATATTAAGGTTTATACTAAGAACCTTCAAAGAGGTAGGGTTTGGTAGGTTAAACCCTAAACCCTAAACCCTAAACCTACAAAGAGGTAGGGTCTAGTAGGTTAAACCCTAAACCCTAAACCCTCAACCCTAAACCCGAAGCCATAAAGGCTCAGACTGCAGACCGAACAACACGTAAAGCCTGCAATTAAAGTTTAGGGTTTTTGATTGAGGTTTAGGGTTTAGGGTTAAGGTTTAGGGTTTAGAGCCTAGGGTTTAGGGTCTGGCCTAAGCCTTAAGCGGGTTTAGGTTTAGGGGTTTAGGGTTTGAGGGTTTAGGGTTTAGAGGTTTATGGCTAAAGGTTAAGGGCTTAGGGTTCTTACGACGCAGGGGTTTGAAGTTTTAGGGATCTGGCAACTCTAAACCCTAAACCCTAAACCCTAAATATATGGGTTTAGAGCTTGGGTTTAGATGTGCCAGGGATAGAGCCCAAGCCTTAAGTAACCCCGAATCCTAAATCTTTAATTAATCCCAAATCCTAAATCCTGGACCATAAGTTTCGAACATCAGATCTTGAAAATAGCTTAGACCCTTCAACCCCAAACCCAAATCCTAAACCCTTATACCAAACTTTAGGCTTAAACCTAAACCCTACAACGTAGATCCTGTTACCTTGGCTCACCTGCACAGATGGCTCGCTGAGAGCGCAGATCCTGCCGCTGGGCGAACGTGGCAGAGGGCTTCACCATAAGAAGGTATGGGGTTTGGGGTTTAGGGGTTTAGGTTGTAGAGGTTTCATCATAAGAGGGTTTAAAGCTCATGAAGCCCCAAAAAGCTTCGTGAAGACCTCTGTAGGATTGAACGCTCCATTAAGCCCAATATGCAAAACACAGAGAGCTCTAAAGCGTTGTAAGGCCTTCCCCAAACCAAGCCTGAACCCGCCCAAACCCTCACCCCTAAACCCTCCAAGGTCTAAGCCCTGAAAGCCCAGACCCTAAACTTTAAACTTTAAACCCAATACCCTAAACCCAAAACCCAATACCCTAAACCACTTAGACCCTGAAAGCCTAAACTGGCCTAAACCCTAAACCCTAAACCCTAAACCCAATACCCTAAACCCTAAACCCTAAACCCAATACCATAAACCCAAAACCCTAAACCCAAAACCCTAAACCCTAAACCCTAAACCCAATACCCTAAACCCAAAACCCTAAACCCTAAACCGCTTCATCCCCGAAAGCCTAAATTCGGGAAAGGCCGCCAGTTGCCCCAAGCCATCCTTGAATAATCCTGAGCCCATTGATCCTCCTGAGGATTCTTAGGGTTCTTAGGGTTTTAGGGTTTTAGGGTTTCAGGGTTCAGGGTTCAGGGTTTAGGGTTTAGGGTCTTAGGGTTTAGGGTTTTAGGGTTCGCGGTTTAGGGTTTCGGGTTTAGGGTTTCGGGCTTAGGGTTTAGGGTTTCGGGTGTAGGGTTTCGGGCTTAGGGTTTCGGGTTTCAGGGGCCTAAAATCTCAGGTTTAGGGTTTTTGGTTTTGCACGGGTTGTGCAAGGTTTTGCAGAGCTGGACACGGTTTTCATCAGGGTTCTCTTAGTGATTCCTGGCGGATTGATATGTATGTATGTATGTATGTATGTATGTATGTATGTATGTATGTACGTGTGTATGTATGTATGCATATATATATATATATATACATATGTATGTATTTATGTGTGTATGTATGTATGTATGTATGTATGTATGTATGTATGTATGTATGTATGTATGTATGTATGTGTATATATATATATGCATATACCCTAAACCCTAAACACATATATATATATATACATATATATATATATACACATATACATACACACATATATATATATATATACATATAGACATACATATTTGGCTGAGCGTGAGGCCAAACTCTTTCTTTACAGCAAATACCAGAAGGCATAGTATGCAGCAGCCTATAATTCGTGACGCATTCCACAACTTAGTAGTAGAGTGCCTGAAACTTTTTTTGAGTACTATGACGCTTGTATAATCCCAAAGATTAACCTTTAGTTCTCTAGAATGCCTCAAGGCTCATGGGATTTAGTAAGGTTATATGTGAGGTTGTTATTCGGATAACTAACCCCAAATATGGCCCTACTTGAGCCCTTAGGTATTGGACAAGTAAGTCCCCGAAACCCTAAACCCGATAAACCCGAAAACCCTTTGAATTCACCATGATCGACATGGAGATCATGATGACCATGTTGGAGGGTGCAGATGGAGGAGATGATCAAGTTGCACATGATCTCGGTGGGGGTCACGTCGAAGATGACGAACATGATGATGAACTTGAAGAAGACGTGCTTCCAGGAGTTCTTGCACGAGCTCAACTCCTACTACATGGTGGGGAACTGCTACCTCAAGCAGAGTATGAAGGTCATGGGGCTTGGGGGCCTTGTGAATTTGCCCACAAAACACAGCGCTGACAGAACTCTGCACGAGAACTACAAAAAGCACCCGGTACTCGCAGTATAAGGCATTGATAGAGCCACGTCTAAACCCGACAAAAGCCCTGCTATGCCCTAAACCCTAAACCCTAAACCCTAAACCCTAAACCCTAAACCCTAAACCCTAAACCCTAAACCCTAAACCCTAAACCCTAAACCGTTGAAGCCGGAATCTGCATCGAGGCTGGGTTTCCAGCTGATCTCCTTCGCTGGTGGCTTCGGCATTCTGTCGCCCGCCTCAGCATCGCAGCCTTTAGGGTTTAGGGTTTAGGGTTTAGGGTTTAGGGTTTAGGGTTTAGGGTTATCGTTGAGCAGTAGAAGTCTGGTTCCCTTGTAAGTTTTAGCTATGCTCGCAGTATGCAGACGCCTACTCTAGCATACTCACAGTATGCAAACGCCTCTAGAACGGTTTTGAAAGTGTTCTTTAGAGATTGTTATATCATCTCCTAGCGGAAGTACAGCAGAATGAGATGCCTCCATCAACTTAAACCCTAGACCCTAAACCCTAAACCCTATACCCTAAACCCTAAACCCTAAACCCTAAACCCGAAACCCTAAACCCTAAACCCTAAACCCTAAACCCTAAACCTTCATACCGGGTACTGGGCTCTCCAGGACCCTAGGAACCCCAAACTCGAAAATAAGAGAGCCTCCCGCGGTTGTCAGCGTTAAGGGTTTAGGGTTTAGGGTTTAGGGTTTAGGGTTTAGGGTTTAGGGTTTAGGGTTCAGGGTTGGTTTCAAGATCAATATCGAGCCGCTCGAATCCCTGAACCCCAGGCTGAAAACCGCAGGGGTCTTAACATAGTGCTTAACGGGGTAGTAGTGTATTTTTTGCGCTTGATTGAAGGCAGTACTGCAAACTACGGGGGGCTTGCTACTCTAGCGATGATGCAAACCCTGAGCCCTAAACCCTAAACCCTAAACGCCCTAAACCCTAAACCCTAAAAGCCCTAAACCCTAAACCCTAAAGTAGATTGCGTAATAAAGGGTGTTGGGGCCTCCCGCACGTGGGAGTCCCGATTGGCTACGAAGGTCTGGGATTCAGGTCCAAAATACTTCTGCACGTATCATCACCATAAGGAACCCAGGAGATCGTAGGGTTTAGGGTTTAGGGTTTAGGGTCTAGGGTTTAGGGAACCCAGGAGATCGTATTTATAGGGTTCCGGTAGGGTCTAGGTACAAGAGCCTGCATAAAGCCATTCGCAGCCTTTGCGCTCAACTCGAAACTCAAGTACAGCTTGAATAACGGCCCCTTATAGATCCATTATTGAAGCCTGCTAAGGAACCCATTGAGCCCCCTAAACCCTAAACCCTAAACCCTAAACCCTAAACCCTAAAACCCTAAACCCATGATCCTACAAGTAAAGGAACCCTTGAGCCTCTCTGAAGGTGGATTGCTCACGGAAAAGACGCCATACACAAAGCAAGCCAACTCCATGCAGGGCTGCAGACGCTTTGACCAGAGTCTTCGTCAACGCAATCTACACAACCCTAAACCCTAAACCTTAAACCCTAAACTCTAAACCCTAAACCGTTGAGCAAGTGCACCGTGCTCCGAATAAAGGGTCGATAGGATCAAAGCATGCGCCGAGACTAAGCACAAAGTCCCGAACCTCAAGCCCGACAACTCGCTACAAAGCGCTTCGAACTGCGTTCAACGTGCGTTGCCCGCGGCTGTTCCCAGGTTTCTCCAGCTTTTCGGTATCGCACCAGGTCCCGCGTTTAGGGTTTTGGGTTTTGGGTTTTGGGTTTAGGGGTTTAGGGGTTTAGGGGTTTAGGGGTTTAGGGTTTAGGGTTTAGGGTTTTAGGGGGCCAGCCTGTGTCGGGGCTACGGCTTTCTGCGCTCAGTAGCATAATTGTGTTTCTGTAGTTGCGGGGTGTAGTTCACGAAAGTCCCCAAGGTTTAGGCTTTCATAAGCAAGAGGAGGGTTCGCGGCCGGGCTAGGTGAGACGGAACGATACTTGGAGGTGCATGGGTAGTTAGAAGGGTTATCAGTTCCCTTAATATGGGTTATAGTTATAGCCATAATTAGCCTAATTATAACCCCACTTATAACTACCCATGAACCTCCATGTAGAGACTCCCTAAACCCTAAACCCTCAACCCTCAAACCCTAAACCCTAAACCCGACTCCAAGTATGCATGTCTATCCAAAGCGGTTCGATGATGTTTGCGGCCCCAGACTTGGAAAATGCGAGTGACATCTACCTCAACACCTGTTAATTCAATAGCGGGTTTAGGGTTTAGGGTCTAGGGTTTAGGGTCTAGGGTTTGGGGTTTAGGGTTTAGGGTCTAGGGTTTAGGGTTTAGGGTGATATACTATAACCGACCGTCTTCGTGTCTATCATATAAACCAAGCCTTCCTGCCCAGGAACCCCACATGGTCAGTCAAGCTCCGATAATGTGACCCTGATCCAGCCTTGTCGTCGAGAATTCTGAAACTAAACTCCCAAACCCTAAACCCTTAAATCCCACACCGCCAAACGCCTAAACCCTCAACTCAGTAAACCTTTACAGAGACGCCACTTGTAGAAGACCTGGTGCAATGAGCGGTACGATGCCGTGAGCAGAGGATCGACTGTGACGCCTGTGTGTTTGTTTTAGGGCTTAGGGTTTAGGG